ATAACTCAGGCATAACTCTCATGCATTAGCAACTACTTCAAGTACAGGGACTGTTGATGGCTGTGTTCTCTAGAACAGACCCAAGAGTGGTTGTGTAATACACTAAAAGATCAGTTGATTTAGGTTTCATTCAAGCCTCTAGTCTTTGGTAGCAATACATTATAAACTGGGTTTGAAAAAGCTTTGCTGTGTACAGTAAGAGATTAGTGATACGTCAGAACAGTTCTAGAATTATTACCAGAAGTATACAAGAGTTAGGATTTGAATTTCTGGCCTCCTTTTCAGGCTGATAGGCTTTACATCAGCTAAGTAACACTCAGTAGCAAAATGACAAGAGTGGTCTTTCTGACTTCACACCCTCTCAGCCTGTTGTCTAGCATACCACGAGTAATCCAGAATGTATTATGTCTAGTTCACTTTCAGACAAATAACAATGATATATGAATATATTTCATTAGAATATAATCAAGGGGCATCCTACTAATTTTTACTGAAGATATTTCAGTTTGATTCCATTTTTATAGGATACTTTCTTAAAGTTTTCAGCGGAGTTTACTCACAAAAAACTTGATTCTTCCGTGCACTGTTACAGGCCTTATTTATAGTGGACTTACGTTTCCATTACTACTACGCAATGATATTTCTTCTAAATAAGAGCTCCCATTATCCAGAGGTATCTGGTTTAGGACGGAAAAATACGGTTGAAGATCTGTAATCTTTCTGCTTTTGCATTGTAGAGTGCTTGTTCTGGACACAGGAAGGATTCTAGAATATGATACACCACATACTTTGTTACAACGAAAAGGTGCCTTTTCTGAAATGGTTGGAGAGGCTGGGATAAGAAGAAAACTAATGAATGAATTCTTAATGAAGACAAGGATTCCTTACTCCAGGAAACACTTGAGGGATATCTGGCATTCCACATATATGTGGAATATTTTATACTCCACATAAAATAACTATCTTACTGAAAAGCTTCTCACAGAATTGCTGTTTACTACAACTAAAATCTGTATATATAGCTCAGGTTTCTTAAACTTTCTGATTTTATACAAATCACTTATTTTGATCGTATTTGCCTTAGAACAAAATGTAACAGTCATTTTCAGGGCATATTTTAACTGTCGCACTAGTAAAGACTGATTGAAGAATAAATCTTGCTGTTCACACATTGGTTTTAATTAAAAAAGAGCACTTAAGTTTCTGACAATATGCCCATTTAGTTAACATATTCTTCTTACAATTGCAAATTCATAAAAAACCAAAACTGCGTATTGTGTGGACATACAGGCAGATGTCACTTGGTTCTGATTTTTAGGACATGCGTATTTGCATTTATACCTGCTAATTCTTGAGGCAATAAACTTGCTACATTAAGTTAATTTCCTTCTGACCTTCTGGTTTCTGAATAACTGAAAAATTACTCCAAATAACTGAAACCCACGACTTAGGTATCTGATTGAGCATTACAAAATCACATTGTGCAAGAATCCCAGCGAAATGGAGTCAGGCACAACCATCGTTTTGCCAGTAGGTTTTAACGCAAACCTCAGTACTCATTACAGCAGCAGGACAGGTTATGTGCTTTAACTGACAGTGTCAGTTAAATGTACCTGTGCTGCTGTAGGCCACATAAATACTAGTTTTCATTGTTATTGCGGTTCCTAAAACCCTTTGAATTTAATACCAACTCAGTCAATGCAATCTTATCTTCAAAAAATAAGAGATCCCCATTAACTGCTAAAAAAAAAAAAAAGAAAATCTCAAAGTATATGAATAAAGTTTCAGGCTACAACCTTGTTACATTAATACTGACAGCTGGGTAACACTAAGCTGGATCTTAATTTCTTACCGGATAGCAAGCAAACCCTGTCTACCATTTCAGCAAGGTGCAGAGGGGTGATGAAGGCTCTCTGAAGAGAGAGCCGCGAAGATGAGATTCCACTGCAGTGCAGGTGAATGATTTCTCCATCCATTCCTGAAGGTCAAAAAGCAAGCCTGCCTGTCTGCCTGCATGTCGTGGTTTTGCCCCAGCCTGCAACTAAGCACCACGTAGCTGCTCACTGCACTTCTTCTCAGTTCTGTTCTTCCACCCAAGCTGCAGCTTGAGGAGAAAGGGTTTTTTTCCCTTTCCACCCCAGTTTCTGACACTCCTCTGTGCCACTTCCCAGAGAAGATCTGCCTTTCCAGGGTATAGCATGCCCTTGACAAGTTGATGGATTGCCACCTCATCCTCTAACCTCCAAAGGAATTCAAGGAAGATGGAGAAATCGTGCTGTTATGGTATTTCCCTGAAAAAAAATAAAGCATGTCCAAGGGACAGAAATTGCTTTTATTAAAAACATTCTGAAAGGTTATTTATAAAATGCATTTCATCATCTGCACTTACAAACAATTTGGGAACATACGCTTGGTGAGGCATCTTATACTTTCCCAATTCCAGCTCATGAACAAGCTTTAGCTACACAAGTTAGTTACATGCCTACACCATGGGCAACCACACTCAGATTTCAAGGATTGTTTTTAGAAAGATTTTAGCCTTCAAATACCAACTGGCTTAAAGAGAGACTTTTGGTAAGTAGTACAGGTGCATATCCGGAAATATCCACGTAGCACAGTGGACTCGTCTTCCAAATTTATTAGCTTGTGCCAAAACAGAGTATATTAAAATCAATAGATATAAAATAAATAACTTGATTGCAGGATTCCATAAAGTCACTTAATAAATAAGGATGCATTGTGAGATATCCTATGTACGGTAACTACTCAAAAATCTGAATAAATACCCCTTTGTGATTTTTTTTTTTTGCGCAAGTAAACAACTCGCCCTTCTCGTCGATTCCCAAATTGCTGCCGAAGGAGACTTAACTCCTCCTGAGTGAAGGAACATGCAAAAAGAAATAAAGTCCTTCATTTATTTGCACTGAGTTCAACAGGTTAAAGTTACTCCCATTCTCCTACCTAACTTGTCCCAAAATTTCAAAAAGCTTTTAACAGTTAAACCTCGCTGTGACGTGGCTCTATCTGTGCACAAGCCTGCTCATTTTACACAGTGCGTTACAAAAAAGGACCAAAGACCTACTGTGACTCCAGCAGACTTAGAGATGAATTTGCAGCAGGGCAGGAAAGGCCACAATGACTCCAAAGACACTGGCGCGTATGTTGAATTAAATACATACGTTTGTATCTGCAAAGCAAAGGCCCCAAATAGCAACTGCGTGCAAGAACTGTACTGTATGCTATACCGTTGGCATTCCTCCTTGATTGCACTGAAGAGGCACTTCTTTCCACACAGGATTTTTACTTACTGGAAGTTCCACACAGACATAGACACGGTCACTTTCAAAGAAGGTGCAAAGAAAAAAAAAAAATCCTCAAAAAATACCACTTTGGTGTTCAACTCTGGAAATTCAACAGATTTTAGCAGTACTTCAGGAACGCTCTGTGATGTGAAGTTAACAATGCTGATGGAATGGTTGCGTGCAACCATGATTCAACTTAAGAGTTTTTTAATTGGATTACTTCTAAGGTATGTTTAGGCAATAGCTACACAGACAGCTGAATCAGCATGAATGATTTACGGCGCGGTCGTAACTCAGGCCTACAGCCAGGGGAATAACAAGCCTGTTTTAACAGAGTCATAGGTTAAACAATGAATCTAAGCCCCATGCTTTATCTTGGCAAGCTTAATACAGAGTGATTCCAGAGAATAAGAGAAAACGCTGAGAACTACCTGTTACTGGAGCTCACCCCATTAAGACTGGGTTGGTGGATGCTGAAGCCATTCTGAGCTGAGTGAGGTGTTTTCCTTGTAGAAAGTTCTACACAGCTAAAAGAATTCAACTGGCCTTTAAGTAGTGATTTAACCCTCCATGAGAGCAGAACAGTCATCAATTTTTTTTTTCCTAGATCACTAGGGTTTTTTTCTCCTCATGCATTTGCTAGATAGCTGGGTAGTGAACTCTGCCTAAAACAATGTCCTAAGAAGTGCTCCCTCAAATCCCGGGTTACACACACTGCATCCTTCCCAAAAGGATGGCTACAGTCTCTGATCTACGTTCAGTTTAGAGTGGGGATATGACAAAACTGAAACGAGAGATACGAGATAAAAAGCAGGAAAGATTTGGGTGAATTTTCATTTACCGGGACTACGGGAACTAGACATCATCCAGGCAGTTCCTTCTGTCCCACACTTTGTCCCTGAAAACTGTACGGCTGGAGTACTCCAGGGGAAAGACATCACGTACTTGCGGATGCACTAAAACAGAACCCGTGCTGGTAAAATTCAACGGCAGATACAAAAGCATGGCTTTAAGTTACATAACATTATTGCAGTTTTCAAACCAGGCGGTGGGGGTACTGAGAGCTGAGGATACGCCTTCGTTCCCTCTGCGCGGAGAATGTCAGTGGCACGACAGCAGCACCGGTACATGAACCGGATCAGGAAGGGAGCTGTCAGCGCCACACCACGGAACTCTGCGTTAGCCAGAGCGACGTTTCTTAATGCGGTTTGCCTGAAACACGAGACCGTTTGCTGTGCAGCCTCAGTACCACCAGCATGCTGTTATGAACAGCAGAGGAATCCACTAAATGCATGTCTCATACAAGCTGCAACATGTTGTTTAGAAAGGTGCTTTAATGCTCAAATGACTCAATTTTATAAATACACTTAAGCTCAACACTGCTAGTGCTGTGTGCGTTAACACTGCTTCACATTCTTTCAAAGTAAATATACTGGGCCTGGGAACACCTACAGTACCACACCACGTGATCGCCAACCTTTGGCCGCACTCCCTTCATATTTTAAACATACACCTCTCCAGGGCTTGCCAATAAAATTTAGCAAAAAACCCACGAGTGTGTCATCACCGGCACTCTCATCCAATACGCAACCTACAAGCAAATACAGGGCACTTCAGAACTTCAAAAATCACTTGTACCTTTAAAGGAACATCTGGCTTTAACAGTCAGGTGTTCACTAGCACCTAACTGGAAGAGATAAAAAAATGAATGTAACAGGGCTAAGGTTAGGCTCCGCTGCCAGTCAGGTAAGTGTGCAGCATCAGTACACTTTCGGAGTCATGGAATGCAACAGGGAAGAGTTTCTTTTCAGTTGAAATTAGTCTTCCGTAAATGCTTATTAGGAATTTCTATTGCGCTGACTTGGAGAGGCCAGGACCCACCAACAATTCCTGCTTGGATAGCTACGCCCATTACAACCGCTAGATCAGGATCTACGGAGGTGTTAGGATCCTTTCCAAAGAAATCCCGAATAACTTTACGTATCTGAGGAATGCGAGTGGAGCCTCCAACTAACACAACTTCATCCACTTCTGTTTTGTGTAGGTGGCCTTCCTTCAACACCTGTTCGATGGGAACAAGGATCTTCTCAAAAAGATCCTCATTTAATGTCTCAAATAGCTTCCTGGAGATTTCCTTTTCAAACACAACTTTGACAAAGTTGTTCTCTACTTTCCAAGTGTCTCCAAGATCATTCAGATCTTCTGTTCTCTGTGAAGGCTTGTCTTTGAGCATAGCGTTTAACTCCATTTCTGGAAGTTCTTTTGTAAGCTTCCTTTCCGGCATAGTCAACACCACCCTCAGCATAGCTGCCTCATGAACAGTCAGATTTAACTTAACTGCTTCCACTGCCTGTCTGAGGCGATGTATTTCTTCTTTTCTTGTTGGCAGAGAACCATACGCTTGATGGAGCTGATCGTATAAATACAGCATCAACCTCTGATTAAAATCCTGTCCTCCAAGTTTGTTGTTACCTGAAACATCAGAATAGAAGCCATCAGATCTTCCAAGCTTCACAGAGCAGCACCATGTACTTTTTAACTGGGAGGTGGTGCTCAAGGGCCAGAACAACGATACTCGGACCATGATCACAGCGCAAGCGCTCACAGAGCTGCGAAAACGGACATTGTTGTTGTCCACTGAAGAACGCACCACGGGTAGTAATTTCCAGATTTTTTTATTTAGCAACTGTTTTAGAATCTACCCCCCTCCATGTTTTTTCCCTCTAAAAGTGGTACACTGCAACAGGAAAAAAAAAGCAGTGTTGTTAACTCTGAGGTATTCTCCATTGAAAACACATAATGACAAATTTCTAGCTGGAATCCCGTAACTGAAAGTACAATCTCTCACAGCAAATTGTTGTTCCAGCTAAAATTCCCAGTTTCAGATTTCTCTCCCTGCCCAGAATGGACTTCTCTTAGCACATCCACACTACAGCTGTTTTGGTATTACTGTTGTAGGAGGTTCAAGTCATTCAGTGTCTTCACGCACCCGCACGAAAACCCACACGCTGCTGCAGTGTAGGTACACACCCTGCCGAAAGCAGGAAGTGGCAAAATGCAAGCAGAGAAGGTCAAGCTCTATTAACAGGTGCATCTCATAGTAGCTAGGGGGTGGTAGAGAGAGAGGGAAAATGTAATACCCAACCAATTTCAACTGAAAGATTTATACTTGCAGCATGCTTTCAGAACTTTTCAAATAATTGCTCATGCTTTCTGCTCAGCAGTTAGCTGAAAATCTGCAGGCCATTTCTTTATGTTGAACAACACTCTCAAAGTTTCCACCACATGGTTTCGACTGAAAACAGGAATTTACGTAGTGCACCTCTACCTAAATAAAGCATAATAAAGCTGCTGAATACTTCCTGCTGTTCCACTCTTACTGGACTGAGCAGCATCTCACGTCAAAACTTGCGTGCTGAAGGCAAGGCAGACAGTTCGCAGCGTAAGTCAGCGCTGCCCGAATCCAGGTCCCCTGAAAAAGCAGTGTGTGTGCACTGCAGCTGTACCGAGCATCGCTGCCACCACGCTCTGCGAGCGACAAATCGCTCTAGTACATACATATCGCAAAGCTTACTTCTGGGTGAGCAGCACACACTTTCCCAAACCCTGTCCAACTGAGCTGGAGCCAAACACGAGGTGAGGATCCTCTAAAGCACTGGTCAATGACTTGGCAAGTGCTTCCGGTTTGGAAAAAGGGAACAGAAAAGATCAGTAACACCCCCAGTCCCCCCCAAATCCAGCCAGAGTAATTGTAATACGCACCAGCGTGTAAATGTAATATGCACTAGTGGGCACGAAAGCAAATGGCCGTAGACAGAATGAAACCCCAACTTATTCCTGAGTCAGCCAAAACCTGTGACTTTATCTTAACTGTTGAAACCAGTCACAAACCTCGTTTTGCTTGAAAGGCAGCTGAGAAGACATTCAGAGAACACTTATGTGACAAGGCTGGCATGCTTTAAAAAGCCCCTCTAATGGGGACTTCAAGTGCACCTTTCCTCTCCCCCCATGCCTTGAGAAAGTAAAGCATTTTTCTCACCTGCCATGGCTCGTGTCAGGAACATCCCTCCCTGCTTGTTCAGCAGAGACACATCCAGAGTTCCTCCACCCAAATCCACCACCAGAACATTAAACACATCAGCTCTGTGGAGTCCGTAAGCCATCGCTGCAGCTGTGGGTTCATTGATTACTCGCAAAATTGTTAGCCCTACAAAGAGCAAAGATTCCAAGCAACGGTCAGGTACACTTCAGAAAACTGTATCTCTCATGTAATTTATCATTTGTTGTTGGTTCTATTTTGTTTTGTTTTTTTTTGTTTTTTTTTTTAAATAACTAAGCCTAACTTAAATAAAAGGTCAGATCTAAAGGAAACCGTTTTCAAAGCAGTAATACTCAACGAAAAATTTTCCTTATTTAAGCCTCAAGTAGTGCAACTTCAGCACCGGGGTGAAGTCACAAACCATGATTTGCTCAAACATGTTTCTTCCAGAAAAACCTTACTCAGGTGACTTATTTCACATATTCTGTTTAAATTATTGTCCAGGGGTGCTCTGTATAGCCTCTCTATTTGCAGATTACCAAAAAGACTATTTTCCCTGAAATAAAACTTAGTGCTTCTAGCTATCTATGTGTGCATTAGTCAGCTGCACCTGTAGGTACCCAGAGCTCTCTCTGCTGTTCCTCACAATTGTTAATGGTATGTAAAAAAACCCCAACAAACACCAAAATCCATTCTAAGATTCTCTATCACTGATTACTGTTTCTGTATCCTCCCCAAAGACTTCAGTGTTAGCAAACTAGACCTGAAGGTTTTGTAGAGAAATGCTGGAATAAAGACACATCACCTGCGAGGTTAGCTGCCTTAATGGTAGAATTCCGTTGCCTTTCATCAAACTCTGCCGGCACAGAGATGACTGCCCTCGAAATGGGCATGCCAAGATAGTCTTCTGCCATCCTCTTCAGTTTCAGTATCAGCTGAGAGCCAATATGCTCTGGCGTGACGCAGAAGGTTTCATTGGTTGTCACAGAAAATTCAGCTGATCCATTGTTGTTCAAAATCTAGGAGAAAAAAGCAACACAACCCACAGGTGAGAAGTCTTTTACATTTGCTCTCCCAGCCTGCTCACGCCAAATGTTTTATTTGCACATAGTCTGTTTATTCTGGAAAAAATGAACATGCTGTTGCCGCTTCCTGAATCACAATTACTCCTTGACTACGAGTGTTATGCAAAACATGCCGCTTAAGGGGTCCAAGTACCTCCAAAGTAGTGACACCCACTGTGCCCAGGCAAGACACATTAAAAAAAAACCCACCAGTAAAGACCTGGCAACTGTGTAACCAACTTCAACGCCACTATCAAGGACAAAAGTAATGCTTTTTAGTCATTAGGTTTACCCTGCTTAGAAAAGCTTCCCACAGGTTCTTCTTTCTGAAAGGAAGAAAACAGGTTGGTACTTGAACACCTTCTCTTTAACAAGTAAAGAATTCAAAGACAACATGTTTGCAGTACCGGAAAATTTGTCTCTTTTCAGTAAATACCGCACCACACTAAATTAATGCAATACTTTTTTTAAAAAGCAGGTTTCAAGATCTGCTGCTGGTCAAGTAAGCACAAGCAAAATGCTAGGAAATAAAAATGCATTGGGACAAAGATGATGTGACTTTATTTTTGGTTTTAATCTTGGGGAAAAAGTGAAGTTTCAGCTAAGAACAGTTAGAATTTCGAGTTGAAGTTATACTTTAAGAGAGGGGCTGGAAGGTTACCCAAAAACACAGGACAGGATCCTCTAGAAAATCACTACTGGCTCTCATGCAGTCGTACGCAACTTCTACAACTGTTTCCTTCTCCCCTCTCTGTATACCTTTTACATTTTTCAGGCATATCAAATTCAGCCAAATTACTCAAGGTCGCACAAGTTGGTCACCTACTACATGTTCCAAGCATCCTATAGCTTACTGGTTGGAAAGAAGTGAAGAAGATGGCTACTTACCTTAAAGGGATACCTGCTACTTTCTCTTCTCAGTTCTTCTGAAGAGAAGATTTTCCCAATGAATCTTTTTGCATCATATATGGTGTTCTGAGGATTTGAATCAGCCAGTTCTAGGCCATCATATCCTACGTACACATCACTGTCTGTGAAAGAGACTATACTTGGTATGCTGTTGTGCCCACTTCCATCTGCAATAACCTTCACCTGCCCAGTTCCAGGAAGAAAGACACCAACAGAGCAGTATGTCGTGCCAAGGTCAATCCCAATTATTTTCGGTGTAGGCATCGGTAAATACTGCTGTGCTAGATAGCCAGCTAACAAGAGAGCCAGAACAGCCGAACCTGAAACACAGATTTTTAAAAATTAGGGTCAGAGCATCTGCTGCTGCAAACTCAGAAGTCAGTACAAATCACACAATATTATACAATACACCTCATGCAGTTTTATTTCATGCTCTGAAGCCAGTTCAACTACCTAATTAGATTTCAATTTCTTCAGGTTTCCTAATTCAACAGAAAGTGGTTAGAAGAGTCCAAAATCTTACGCATTAAATACTAAACTCATTTTAAAAAAGCCCAAGGGGTACAGCAAAGCCAAAAGCATCAATACCCTGTAACAATTTTTATCCTTTCTACAAGGTACTTCAAAAATATAGGATAATTAGTATTTATGGAGGAATTGTCTATGAATGGTCCCTAAGGGATATCTAGTTAATTAGGTTGCACAAAATCACAGTGAAATGACAAATTCCCAATTCAAACATCTCCAACTTCACTGCAAATCTAAAAATAAGGACATACAAAACCTTGCTACCTCCTCCTATTTCAGTCGTGGCTCCCAAAGAGCATCTTCCCACATCTCTCTATCTTTTCTATGACTTGAAGTCAAGAGGTAGACTAGCTGAAGTTCAGAGTATAGGGTTTTTTTAATTCTACATATAATCAACAGACAAAAAGTAACCCAAGAAAGCTATCATAAAGCAATGCCTCAGAGAAGACAAAAAACAGAACCAACAAACAAAAAACTGAAGAAAAAATCTAAACCAGCTTAAATTTCAAAGAATGAATAAGCTTTTCTTCCCACCAGAGAAGAGTGGTCACAGTCGTGCTTCAAACAGAGCAGTGAGAAGAACAGGTTTACTTTTGGCCGTGAGTCTCCCAAGGCATCTCTTAGCATGGCGCCACTGAGCACTTCAGCTTTCCAAACAGAGAAATCACAGAATCACTAAGGTTGGAAAAGACCTCTAAGATCATCCAGTCCAACCACCAACCCAGTGGGTATTCACTAGGCCATGTCCTCAAGCACCATGTCTATATGTTCCTTGAACACCTCCAGGGATGGTGACTCCACAACTTCCCTGGACAGCCTGTTCCAATGCCTGACCACTCTTACAGTGAAGAAGTGTTTCCTAATATCCAATCTAAACCTCCCCTGACGCAACGAGGCCATCCCTGTACCCAGGGACAACACCCCCTCCCCCGCCTCCCTACAACCTCCTTCCAGGTAGCTGTGGAGAGCGATCAGGTCTCCCCTCAGTTTCCTTTTCTTCAGGCTAAAACACCCCGCGCACGCCACAGGAAGCCGTGCCATCCTGAAAGGCCGTTCCGGGGCGACAGCGTTGGCAGAAAGGCTGCGAGAGCCCCAGCAAAACT